TAGCAGTTGTGAACCTATACGATGATAAGATTGCCACAGCCTACACTGCTACCACAGGGCACATGGCCCCAGAGGTATGTCAAGTTCTCCCAATTCATTCACTATCCCCCGATACCTGTAAAGTCAACATATTAGATGTACACATGAAACTGATCAGCACAATGTAAATGACCTTATCATTGAACATTTATCAGTTCAAAACCTTTGCTATTTTTCCTAGTTTGTTAGTTTAAATGTCAATGGTGACAGTCCTTAAATGTGCAGGTCCTGCCTCCTGCTTACCTGTTCAGCACATTGGTTGTGGTTTATTTTTCCTTTGGCTCAATGGGAGCCTACATTTAATAGTGCTCACAGTCCCAAGCAGGCAACAGAGTGCCATGCACCTTTGTAAAGCTTTCTATAGGCTTCCTTGACTTGCTCTGGTTGAATTACATTTTTAGACTGATCAATGTACTAACCGGTGTCTCTTTACTAAATTGTCAGGTCATTAACAACGACGTCTAACAGTTTGAACCTGACTGGTTCCCACTGGGGGTCATGACCTACATGATGGCTATTGAACTTTGGCCATTTAGGTCCAGGACCTTAGATGAGTACAGGAGAGAGGTAAACTTCTGCTATCCAGTTTACCCTCCTGACATGGACCCAGATCTGGAGGACTTTATAAAAGGAGTAAGTAGAATAACACATTGTTTGACTCTGAACAGCCACAGGAAAGGCTTCTGGGCCTACTGCTGCTACTTTGGGGTATAATGTAGGTTTGCTGCCAAGTCTGGTTGTCAGCTGGATTGTTGGGTAAATTGGCTTATCTGTCCCATGGTAAAGTTCTAGTTACTCAACATTTGTAATAGTTTCTCATGGGATTGAGGGGGGTCAGAAGATGCCACGGGGGGTAAATCACTGTTGTGCACATTGTATTATGGTATTAAAGCAGAACTCAAACTCATGTATATTTATTTTGGGCAAAGTGGGGAGGGTTAGATCATCTGCCATCATTTTACTGTAATCTGTGTTAACTGTCTCTTCATTTGTCTTTCATAGCTGCTGTGCAAATACCCAGATGAGAGACTTGGGATAAAGGTGGACATCCGAACCCATCCATTCCTGGACTCCATCGACTGGGAGGAGCTGGAGGAAGGGAGAACACCACCCCCTTTCCCAGTGGACACAGTAAGTACATGGACTCTAATGGGATGAGCATAACTAATAAAAAGAAGGTTGTTCTACACAACCTCATATTTACTATATAGATGACAGACTGGAGCATTGCTGTATCCTTACAGATAATGTAGAGAACACAGAGATATCCCAGCCTGCAGCAATACCTTGCAGACTAATCAGTTCATAGTTTCCTTTTTCCATGAGAGGAGGAAATAAGAATGGAACTTTCTTTGCATCAGACACAATGGTGCACAGTTTGGAGTGAGTTGGTATAATGGTGCATGATACAATCTCCATGAGATGTCATTTCGGCCATTGCCATGTGCTGCAAGGGATGAGCACAGGCATGTAGTTTGCTTCTAGATTTGTATCCTATCTGCTCTCCCACTGCACTGAAAGGAGGAAGAAGAGGTCCTAATTTGTGATGAGAGAGTTAGTCATCAATATCAAACAATATCTAGCGATCCATAAGTACTGAATCTGACACATTTGTGTTTTCTTTTTACAGCCCATGGACATGGAGATCAGGACACGTCTTCCTCCATCAGCCATCCATTCCAAGTCATCTCACCTTCCAGACGAGGAGGTGTACATCCCCGGGTTCACATATATCAGCAGCGCGTGGGCGCACGTGTGAACCTGCAAGGGACATCCATTTTGTCCTCATAAGATCAGAGGATTGAGATGAAGAAAAACACATCACGTGTCTCAGCTTGCACCACAGTTGATCCAGGGAGTTGTCCGATCGCCTTCGGTGGTCAGGAAGGAATTTTCCCCCTTTGGAGCAAATGACACCATGCTTCATAATGGTTTTCGCCTTCCTCCGGATCAACTCTAGGTTTTATAAAGTCCCACAAAAAATAAATATTCCCAAAAAAACACATTATTTGTACACTAGTTTGTTAAGGTATTTTTTAAAAGGCGTCTTTACAAACCTTGCTGGTCTATTACTTAAACTGTATCAAGATAAAAGTAATAGTAAACTTTTTGTTGTTAGTTTGGGATGGAGCGGGGGTGGGATTAGAGTCTCTATTAATTGTTTTGTGTCCACACCGACCTCTCAGGGGCCCTCATGTTCTCATTATCCACACCGGCCTCTCAGGGGCCCTCATGTTCTCCTCATTATCCACACCGGCCTCTCAGGGACCCTCATGTCCTCCTCATTATCCACACCGGCCTCTCAGGGGCTGTAAAGACTTTGCTTAAATGATGCCTCTTAATCCGATCTTCTTTCCCGTCCTTTTCTGCTGTCCCTCCCACGCTGGTGCGGGTCTCCGATCCAGCGCTGACTCCTCTTCTCTGATGTCCCACGGAGTCTGTGCGGGTGCATGCTGCCCCATAGACTTACCTTGTGTTTCTCCTCGTCTGCCGGCCGAACATCTGAACTGCGCATGCACCGCCCCAAGATCCTTTGCGGCCGCCCGAGAAATTTTCAGATGTTCAGACGGGAGCACGCAGCAAAGACATACACCTGTTTCGAAAGGTTTATTTATTTTGGCATAGCAGTAGATATATGCAAAAAACTGCAAGGGTTTAATAACCATTTAATTCTTATTCTATATCGTTGTATTCTAAAAAACCTTAGATAAAGAATTTACAAAAAAAATGTTTGGGCTTGAGGTACCCTTTGACAGCACGATGCTCACATAAGCCATCTACTTCTTTACATACGTGCACACTGAACTTGATATTGTTTCGAGTAGAGATCTTGAGTACACTGTATCAGATATACGCGTATACAGCTATTCACAGGGACAGAGAGGGAGAAATCCATGTTATGATTGTCATTGGATTAGGAATAGAGGGGAGATCCTACATTGGTGCCGGCCGTGTCATTTTGCTGCAGGAGTTCGGTGCGAGCGGTCAGGTCGGTGCGAGCGGTCAGGTCGGCTGGCCTTTTTTGATTTTGGCGAGTCGGCAGGCGTCGTTCATCATGATTGACGCTGGATTACATCATTGGACAGCATGACTGAAGCTGGATTACATTGTTGGAAATTTTTACAATAAAGGAATTGTCAAAAATTGTGTTTGTGTTTTTTGTCAAATTAAAGGATTTTTTCAAGGTCTCTGTTATTTACTTTTGACTTAACTCTTTGGTGAACGAGTAGCGGTAACAACATGAAAGGGGGTATCCAGATGCAGATGAGCCCCTGCCCGCAGACCCCCACAACTATTGGGCCAGGGTTGTGGGGAAGAGGCCCTTGGCCTCATCAGCATGCAGACAAGGTGCTTTCCCAGGGTGTCCCTCTTGGAAAAGCTCCCTGCCATGTGGTGCTCACTCGACCCCTCCCTTTCCTGCCCTGCTAGGCCAGTGCTCAGATTAAGGCTCTGGTTTGGAATTTTAGGTGGGCCCCACTTTTTTCCCCCCTTTTTGGGGGCGTTTGGGTTCCCCTTAAAATTCTGACCAGACCTAAAGGGTCTGGCATGAATTTTTAGGGGAACCCAATCCATTTTTTTTTCTTACAACGGGGGTCACCCCCCTAACATTGCTACCTGACCTAAAGGGTCTGGTATGATTTGGGAGGGGGACCCCACGCTGTTTTTTTTTTAACCAGTTTTCATTCTATTCGCTGCCTAGAGAACAGAATGACCGAGCCAAATACTGTTCGGCAGCATTCAGCAATCCACTCTGTGCTGTTCAGACCCTTTGAGGGCCCAGTCACATCGTATCTAGTAGATCCCAGTGCAGTTCACGCCCAGAACGCAAAACGCATCCATAAAATTCTCTTTATGGATATATCAGGTCTCTAAGAGCCCTAATGTCACCTAGGCACCTCCAAAGAAGCTGATCAAGCAGAGATCTGCTTCACCAGCTCCTCTCCAGGTACAGAAGCCAGAGAATGACAGCTGAATGTGGAAGTGATGTAAGATACATCACTTCCTGCATTCAGAGAATGGAGGAGAGATTGTGTGATGAACTCCTGCGACAGAGCTGCCATGCCGTTCCCAGGCCTGTACTGGGCACATCGGAGCTCGAGATCGGCACGTATATTACAAGCGATTGGGCGTCTCTACAGACGCCGGAAACACTTGTATGTAAACAGCCATTGCTGGCTGTGTACAATTTCCGCAGTTTTCCCGCTCGTGCGTGCCGCACGGTCGGGGTGTGGGCAACAACGTTTTTAAAAAGCCCACTTGCACTCAATCAGCTCCCGGCCGACCTGGAAACAGTTAAACAATAGCATTTATCTGCATCACAATGATCACATTTATCCCAGGAAGATCCAGATAAATACAATGACAACTGGGTCTACCTCATACAGCCCCTCTCTGGGTGGTAATATCACAACATACCACTACTTCATTCACTAGAAAGGTAAGTGTCGGAAACCTTGTGGGGCTGGAGATAACAAAATAAAAGGAGGTTATACTATCTTGTGTCAAGACCAGTTTACTTTAAAGATGTATTCCAAGCAAATTCCAGGCTAACCACACAGCTTAAACATAAAACACAGTCTGTTTGAATGGAGAAGTCATTTAATTAAAAAAAACATGAGTTGATTACCTGATAACTCTGTTTCCAGGAATCTTCCAGGACAGCCATCGAGATATAGGCTCCGCCTACCTGCAACAGGAAACACACCAACCACATTAAATAAATAGACTCCTCCTTCCATCCCAAGTCAGTAACCTCTAGGACCGAAGGCTACCCCATGCACAAAAGTATCCCCTCCTTCATCCAACCTATTTCTTTGAAGACCTCCCTCTGGACATTTGCATACACATATTTAAAACTAAAACAAAAAGTTAAAAGTGTTTTAATAGTAACAAATACAAGTCATCTCTGGTGCACTATGTACGGGTGATCATCCACATGGTGGCTTGGCAAAGGACCTTTGTCAATGTCTTTCAGGAACGGCTTCTGAGAGTTTCTGTTTCATTCTCTCTGCTCTGGCACGGCTTTCATTTCTGTTATTTTCATACTAAGAGATAAATGGGGAAAAAAACAGTTATATTATAGGACAACTGTTCCCACTTTTTCCATATTCTTAGCGAGCAGCAAGAGCTTCAACAACCCATTCCTGATCTCTTTAGGTGCTTGTGGTATAAAGTAACGGCTCTTGCAGACGGGCCCCTGCACAGCGTCAATACTGGAGTATATCCCTCACCATGTAGCCACAGATGATGTGTCTAGCCTCCCATATAAGTCAATGGCTCTACGTGGCTGTAGGTGGGCATACACAGACACCTCCATGCACCTGGACAGACGATTCTGAATGCAGGCAGTCTGTGCAAATGCGCAGCAGTACTGGCGTATACCCACCTAAAGACATTGACTTATATTGGAGGCTGTACGTAGCAGCTGTGGCTCCATAGTGAGGGAATATAATCCGGTAATCTCCTTATCTAGACTAATAATTCCTCCTCCACTCATCTCCATTTCATAGGTAGGTGTTCTTTAGTAGTTCATAGAAGGAAGCTGGGAAACCAGAGAACGTTGTTTGATACATCAGTTCATATCTATGAACATGTAAGCTGCAATATATAAAATGTTTCTTTTTGGTTTAGATATTTGGGGCAGACTTTTCAAAATCCCCTAAAAATTGCTATCAGTAGTCTAGTCCCACTTGATAAATGGCCATTCTGAGACCGACTGTTTGTTAAGGGAGGTCTTGTGACATACCTATAAGATTTTATTGTGTCAGGATCATTATCCCAGGAATCAATTTAAAAGAGAACTATGGGGGTAAGTGTTTTCCCCATAGTTCTCTTAAGGGTCACAGGAGGACATAAACTAGCGTCCTCCCGTGACCCAATGCTCCGTATATCGCGAGCTATAGCTTGCAGTATACGGAGACCGTCGCAGCGAAGACGGATCCCGACATTCAGTTGAGATCCACCCAGCTGCGTGAGTGACAGCTGGCTCTGCCTATCTAGGAGGCAGAGCCAGCTGTACCCTCCCCCGTCCGTTCCTCCACTCAGCGCTGGAGGATCGGAGCAGGGAGGGGGGAATCTCTGCAGGAAGCCGTGACTGACAGTTACGGCTCTCTGCAGGGACATGATCGAGAAGTGAGTGAGCGACGGTATGTGTTCGCTCACTACCCGATCTATTGAGCCGACGTGTGACAGTTTCATTGTCACATGTCGGCTTGAACTATGAGGCTGAGTGATTTTCACTCACCTCAGTTCTCCTTTTAAAGCAGAGTTGTAGGCAGATACAAAAGAAGAAAGACGGAGAACATCTTCACTTACAGCGCAACTCGGCACAAATAAAATATATACCTCAGTACCAGTCAAGAAGGGATGAGCTGCTTGCTGCCTGTCCCCACTAGGTTATTACAAATGAGGCACACAGGACATCATGAAGAATTCCTCCTGCTTGTCTTGCCCTAGAAGTACCCCTATGTGATCATGTCAGTGGTGCCCAGTAACTGCCCAACCCACATCTACGATAAATGGATCCTCAAGTTCCAGAAGCTCCTTGTTTAGCTGCATGGTCTGCACATATGGCATGCCCACCTCTCATGGCCCCTGATTTCAACCATGCGTTCAGCTCCTCGCTTGGAGTTCAGTTTTTGTTGCAAAACGATACGTTTGACTGGGGTGTACCTTGTAAATGGTTAATACATCAAAATGTAAAAAAAAAAAAAGGTTGTTTTATGAAAAACTAAAAGCTATTCTCTTAATACGAGTTGTTGGCCTCACCTCTTTCCTAAGACACTTTCTCATCTCTCGATCTATATCGTTGCAATGTCCCAAAAATTTCAAAAATTTGTTCTAAAAGTAAAAAAAGAAATACAGTGTAACCATACGTTCTACAACAAACCAAATCTACTTCTAGTCATGACACTTTAGAAATAAACATTTACAGCGATACAATTCCAAGGATTGAAAGATATCATTGTCAATTGACATAGCACTGTCATTACATTCCGGAAAACTTGAAAACCGTATACAACAAAAACCAAATAAAAGAAGTGTGAGCTCTAACCACGTGGTCTCTCTCTCTCTGTCTACAGTAGGAAATGTACTTTTCCCATAGCAGCCAAATGTATGGTTTAAAGCAGCGGTCGCCAACCTTTTGGACCTCATGGACCACTAAATTCATACCACTATTACCTGATTTCTCCCCACTTTTTCTATGCCTGCTCAGTCCGGGTACTGACGAGATGCCCCGCCTTCTGCAGAGCCCGCCGTGTACTGAGAGCCGCGCATTTCTTGTGACAGCCGCTGCTTGAGTCAGTGAGAGGCAGCCCCGGAGCCTCCGTGCCGCTTCAATGACAGCCAAGCCTGCACGGCATCAGGAAGGGCCCGGGGACCACCAAAATTTTCTCACTCACCACCGGTTGGCGACCGCTGGTTTAAAGCCAAGCTTTAGCCTTCGGAGAAATTTCAGCTCACTTCCTGTTCCTTACAGTCTGACCAGTTCCTGAAGGCTGACCTGTAAAGGGGAGTCAGCTGTTGACCATGCTAGCTCAGTAACCACAGCATGGATCAGAACGGAACCACATGCTACATGGACTTGGTTCCTTTAAAAGGGAAGGTATAGTGGGTTTGAATCTATTGTATTTATTTGTGGTCAGGGCTAAAGAATAAAGTTAAAAAGAAGTCTCTCTTTAGCAGGTAAATATATTAACTATATTGCATTATTATATGCAGCCAGCAAGAGATACTCTGGCCTTGTTTTAACCTGGGGAGTGTAAGATTGTGTAAGATTTGTAGAACATTGTCTTCTGAAAATTGTGCATAACTTCAGGTGTTGGCGCACTTACCTCGATATGGCACGTCTTCAGCATATTGATAATCACATTACACTCGTCAGTGTGAAGGTGGGGTGACAAGTCTGGATGCATCTTATATTAAGGAGCAACTGTGTAGTTGGAAACAAGTACAAAAGAGGTTTATTCATTTAGCCTATTAAAGCATTCACATCACTCCCTTCCCCACAGGAGCTTACAATCTAATTTCTGCAGAAAAGTCACACATACCAATGGTCTAAATGTAAGCTAAAATGGAGGACATCTAGCTAGGGATGCACCGACATTAGTATCGGTGCCGAGTATTTTGGCGAGTACTCGTATTCGCCCAAACACTCCGATGCCTAGCCTGATTATGCTTCTGGTATCAGGAAGCCAGACAGCCAGTCATTACATGCTGCCCGGCTTCCTGTTGGCTAGGGAAGCCGGCTTCATGCCCCCTCATGACGAGGCAGCATGGAGCCGGCTTCCCGGCCAATCAGGAAGCCAGGTGCCGCGTCATTACACGACGCCCGGCTTCACGATTGGCCAGAAAGCCATCTTCATGCTTCCTTGTCACGTAGTGACAAGAAGCATGGGGACGGCTTCCCTGCTAAATCGGGTGGCAAGTCTTTACACGTCGCCCGGGTCCTGGCTAATCAGGAAACCAGGTGGCGAGTCATTACATGCCGCCTGGCTTCCTTAATGGGACTTCCGGTATCGGCACCGGCGAGTACTGAAAAAAAAAATATTGGTACTAGTTACCGAAATACCAGTATCGGTGCATCCCTACATCTAGCTACTCTCCTGTACAGCTTTCCATTATGCCTACATCCATCTACATTTCCACAAGACTGAGGCAAGTAATCTTTAAAGAGTACCTGTACAAAAATTTAGGTAAAAGCACAGAAAAGTAAAGTATTTTACTTGCATCATTTTTCCTTACTATAAGCAATTGTTTATTCACTTGCAAAGTGCCTCTAAATGTGAGAAAAATTGATTTCTTCAGGAAGAGGCAATAGATAACGCCCACATGTAATGCTAAACCTTCATGATTTAAGAGAACTGAAAACCAAATCAATGAAAGGGATGGACCAGGGACAGTTGGGCTGGGGAGGAAATCACTAGATGATGCTGGACATCCTCCAGCCAGGACACGAGGCGAGCTTTATCCGACTTGCTGCACTTTCTAATGCACACCCTGAGAAGCTCACAGCGTGCAGTGAAAATCCGAGTCAGCCATTTCAGTCCAGGAGAGGAGCCGTTACAACCGTGCCAGACTGAAAGGAAAGCCGGAGTTCCACCTTTAGGCCTCATTCACACGAGAAAAGGCCGGCACGTACAGCTCCGCGCTGCGTGCACGGCCGTATCGCTCAGCTCCCCGGAAGGACAGGTGCTGCATGTGATTAGTACGCAGCCCCTGTCCTTCTGCTCTACACCAGCTGTGGTGACACTACAAATCCCATCAAGCATCTGTCTCTGGGAGTCGTACCTGTGACTGTCACTCTTGCAGTGCTTCCTGGGACTTGTAGTTCCACAACAACTGGAGTGTCGATGTTGCCCACCGCTGGTCTATGTGCATTGAACATTTTTAGAAGAAAGTTATGGAAAAAAGAAAAATTTCATTATTTTCAATGATCAAAGAGGATCCTCCAGTTGATACGGACTCTTATAATAGCATAATGTTTATGGTCTGTATCTCACCTCCGAACAAATCAAGCCACTGGTGTGTGAAAGTCACACTGGACCTTTTGTCACAGAATATAAATAGGACTGTGACAAAACAAAGGACAATGTTATGTAGATAAGATCAGAAGGGACATTTATAAGGAGTGAATGAAACAAGCTGCCTCTGGTCTGCCAACTAGTGAAAGGCTCCCGGGATGTGCGGAACGGCCATTTAAAAACATCAGGGAGCGGGTTATGTGGTTTCTCTCGGCGCCCATGTTCCAATCGCTCTGAACCAAGAGTAGCCTAACTTCGGCCGTCCAGCAATTGTGGAATGACAAGTTGCATAAAACCCAAACCCCGTGTTGGTCGATAGGGAGTCGAATGTAAACAGACGCGTGTCATTTACATCAGATTACCCCCGCGTGCAATAGGATGTAAAAGGACGCCCGCCCATTTACACAGGGCTGCCCATAGACTAACATTGGGACTGTCCATGTGAAAGGGGCCTAGGTCCCTTAACTCACCGCAGCTGAATACAACCAATTTCTGCACTTTACTGATCAAGATACAATTTTGGTCATTCTGCTGAAGAACTGCAAAACATAATATGTAGCTGTGCATAACAAAACCCCAAACCGTTATCAAAGACGTCCCATTTAATCTATATATGTGTTTATTACACAAATTGATTAATTTTGAAATACATCTTTAATAAATACCAAAAGGATACTTGCACCACCCCAACTCATACCATCAGAACTCATGTTTATCGTAAATGTCTGCTACAAGACAAAATCATAATTAGTGTTAAAAAAATATTCATATTATTAAATAATAATAATAATAATAATAATAACTATTTCTAAAATGCTTTAATTAAAAATAGGTTTCCATTGAAGTCTATAGACATAAGATGACAGTAGGACATTCTGACCGATGAAAAGTCATTTAAAAGGAGAATTATGGGGTTAAGTCTTTTCCCCATAGTTCTCCTAATGCTTTTGCCTGAGGAAGGGGTTCCTCTGTGACCCCGAAACGTTCGTTGCTGTTCACTATGCTGCACGTCAATAAATAGACGTTTGCTCGTGAATTTGGAGTGCCAGTGTCTTTATCTTTACTTGTGATTATAACGGATGCCACCCGTTGACTACCGCAGCACCCGCTTTTCAAAGGGATTTGGCGGTCAGGAGAGCGATGGGACCATGGACTTTCTGGGAATAAAAAGCAACGCAACACACCTCTCACACCAGAATGGGCGGTAGATGCGATTGTGTGGTACAGTGCGTTAATCTATGCAATTAACACCCTACTAGAGTGAACGGGCCCTAAAAAAAAATGGACACAACCACATTCCCCCCAAAAAATGTTTTCTTTTTGTAAGATCCACCCACCTATCTTATGAGAACTGGAGCGGATCCTCAGCCTGGGGTCTAGTGTGGGCTGCTGTGCTATAGCTCCATCCATATGTCCATTGCTTGCACAGCTCCCTTGCGTGCCCTGTAGTGGTGCCGGGAGCCAGAATGTGACATCACTCCGGTCCAGGCACCTCTACAGGGCACGCTGGGGAGCTGTAAGCAATGCAGCGGGCAGTGTATTTTGAATGGCTGCTTGGAATAAGAACTGACAGTGCTGCTCTAGGGGGAGGATGAGGAGCCTCTCGCCTACAAAAGTGGAAGGCATGTGGTGACCCACTGAACACAGGTCCGCGACCCACTTTTGGGTCACGACCCACCAGTTAAGAACCAAGGCTCTAAATGATCTTTCTACTGCCTGTCAGTACATACACCATTCGCCTGACATTTAACATGTCAATATTGGCAGATATAGAAGATCCCCCATTTAATCCAGTTATTTTGACATATATGTATTTTTTATTTGACATATATGTATTTTTAATAAGTACAGTGGTACCTCGGTTCAGGAACCTAATTCGTTCCACGATTCTGGTCGCAAACCGAATCAAACTGATCAGACCGCGATCTTGACTAGAGGAAATGGAGAAAGGTTTTTGCACTCCGTACCGTATACCGTATTTTTCGCTCCATAAGACGCACTTTTTTTCCCCCAAAAGGAGGGGGAAAATGTGCCTGCGTCTTATGGAGCGAATACCTATCGCCCGACGCCCGGGACATGCAGTTTCGGGCGCCGGGCGAGTAGTTTCTTTTTGTACATTCAGCCCTGCTCCTGACAAGCAGAGCTGAATGTACAGTGGGAGCCGCTGTTCGTTTAATACAAGGGATCTAATTAGATCCCTTGTATTAAATCGAGCGGCGGCACCGGCGATCGTGCCCGCCCCCCCGCTGTGGTTTTCTGGGTACCCCGTTCCTCTGGGGGACGTTCTTCGTCTGCTCAATGGGCTCTATGGTGAGCTCCTATGGGGGACCGTGACGGTCCCCAATAGGAGCTCACCATAGAATGACCTAGTCACTGCTATGCCTGATGAAGGGATCCTGTGTGGTCCCGAAAGCGCTTGTGTATTTGACATAAGTTTTGAATAAATTCACGATTGACTATCCTTGAAGGAGTCTGGTGTGCTGGTGACATCTCTTTATTAACTAGACTAGAGGAAGCCGCGACCATGTGTCAGAGCAGGGAAGATGGCTGCGGTTGTGTACGATTAACATTGTAGTCCATCACAGGAGTGAGCTGGAAGTGGTGACTACTTTACAACACACACAGGCAACAGAACTAGTAACTAGTGGTGACTACTTTACAACACACACAGGGAACAGAACTAGTAACCCTCCAGAGGGAAGGACAGTGTCAGCACCAATTCAGAGATGATTTGAGGATCTACAGCCGAGTGATACACAAATAAGATACATTTCAGTTAATAGTTAGGGAACATGAATGCATTTTTAAGATTTGAAACCGGAGTTTACTGTCACTTTAATATTTGAGCCTCATAGGTCAGAAACTGTTTATAGTTGGCCACTAGAGGGAGTAAAGTGCAGGCCATTTTGTAGAACACTCTATACAGAATAAACACAATGGGGGGAATTATCATAGCAATTGCGAGTGTTTGAACTTGCACAGAATATATTTGCACCAGATTTATGATGCTGATGTGATGTTGATAAACTAGGTTTAATAGACTCCAGGATAGAAGACTTGTAACTCCAAGCAAAAGCGTAACTGTCGCTTCATGAAGAAGTGGTTATGGGGACTTCTAAGTTGATAGTTTTCTTAGGTGATGCTCCAGTTTCAGGGCTTGTTCACACGACTTTCTGGTCCAGATCTGCAGACGCGGTGCTATGCATGCACTGCATTTTTGCCGCTTTCCAGTAAAAAAAAAAAATGTGGCAGTGCTGGAGTGGGGCTGCCAGTATGTTAGCTGCAGTGAGGTGCGTTTGACACGTTCGTGCATTTCCGGACCGGACAAAATGTGACATGCAGTATGTTCTCTGTCCGGACTGCGCTTGTGAGAACTGTAGCCCATAAAACACATAGGGATACATTGGGATGCATTTTGAGTGCACGAGCGCACGGATCCGGACGTCGTGTGAACAAGCCCTCATACAGCCCAGATGAAAACAGGTGCAAAAAACGTGCAGATAAAAAAGTAGTGCAAGCTCAGGTGAAAACAGGGGTACATGTTAAAATACACATTTGCACATAAAAAAATAATAATTTAAGAGGCTAAAACGGTCACAATTGCTATGATAAATTCCCCCCAATGGATAATACATACTCGGACGTATAGCTTTGCAAATATGGAAACCTTTAGGCCTCATTCACACCATACGTGTTGTGCTGCAGTGCCATTCATTGTGAAAAGCACGCCAATGCACCGGTGTTGCAGCGCACCGCAATGCGTTTCTCAAGCCAAACTCGGTGCAGTTCCAATTATTGGCCTGTTGTGGTACATTGGCAGCCAGTTAAATGAACAAGCTGACTTAAGGAGAACTATGGGGTCAGGGCTTTTCCCCATAGATCTCCTTAGGGTAACGGGAAGACACAAACTAGCGTCCTCCCGTCACCCTAGGCTCAGTATACCGCGAGCTACAGCGGGGAGGGGGGAATCCATCTCCTCCCCTGTCACGGCAGAGAGCAGTGACAGGATCAAGAAGTGAGCGAACACCGGCATGTGTTCGCTCACCTCCCGATCTACTGAGCCGACCTGTGACAGTCTCATTATCACAGGTCGGCTAGAACTATGAGGTGAGTGAAACACATGTGAGTGAAAATGTGAGGTGAGTGAAAAACTATGAGGTGAGTGAAACACACTCACCTCATAGTTCTCCTTTAACACAATGCATGTTAAACACAACAGCGGACGGCTCTGGAGTGAATGGGCCTTTACTGCATGGCACAGGTTGAAGTGGAACAAAACCTCTATCTTTACCCTCATGTAATCCATCCATTCTCTGTGCACACTGGAAAGCAGCACATGGTAGGCCATTGTTTTGAAAAATGAATACAATCTGCATATTTAGAGAAGTCAGTTGCCCTGAAAAAGGGGATTTTTGACTCACCTGGACACTTATCACAGGACACAGGAGTATCCAAAGACAACTGGGTTATATGCTGCTACCTTCAGGTGATCGGACACTGGCTGTGAGTTGTGAGGACACCCCCCCATATAACCCATCCATCCATATAACCCATCCATCCATATAACCCATCCATCCATATAACCCATCCCTCTCCTAGTTTTGTAACAAGAAATAGGAGACAGGAAGAAGAGGAGAGAGGTCTGTGTCCTGTACTACTCCAAGAAACGGAAACAAATCCCATTGCCTTAAAGGAGAACTATGGGGTTAAGGCTTTTCCCCATAGTTCTCCTTAGGGTAACGGGAGGACACAAACTAGCGTCCTCCCGTCACCCTAGGCTCAGTATACCGCGAGCTGTAGCTTGCGGTATACTGAGACGCCGCAACTGAAGTGGATTCCGACAATTGTGCCGGGATCCGCCCAGCTGCGTGACTGACAGCTGGCTCTGCCTATCTAGAGGCAGAGCCAGCTGTACCCGCCCACTCCCCTATCCGTTCCGCCAGGCAGCGGGGAATCCAGCCCCTCCCCTGTCACAGCAGAGAGCCGTGATAGGATCGAGAGGTGAGCGAACGCCTGTATGTGTTCGCTCACCTCCCGATCTACTGAGCCGACCTGTGACAGTCTCATTTTCACAGGTCGGCTAGAACTATGAGGTGAGTGAAAAGCACTCACCTCATAGTTCTCCTTAGGGTAACGGGAGGACATAAACTAGCGTCCTCCCGTGACCCAAAGCTCAGTATATCCTGAGCTACAGCTCGCGGTATACTGAGACCACCGCAGCCATGCGTTGATGCATGTCAATGGACATACAATTCTGGACAATGACTGCAGAGGGTGTACAGAAGTACTGGTGTATATCAGCCTACAGGTAAGGAGTTACATGGGAGGCTGTACAGAACACCACTGGCTGACTGGAAGGGGAAATACAGCAGAAATTACATTATACGGGTTCAGGTGCCTGTGTGCATGAGCCCTTAGAGCGGGGGAGGGCAACGCCAGCCCTCCAGCTGTGCTTTACCTACAAATCCCATCATGCTGCGGTCAGTCTTGCAGTTCCACAACAGCTGGAGGACTGGAGTTGCCTGCCCTCGCCTTAGACAGTGAGCAGGACAGGTGTCCCCATTATAGGATTTCCCATCACTTCCTGTACTGGAGACAACGGTCACCACCAGGCGGTGGAGGAGGCGACACAGACAGCGATATCATCCTGACAGAGGGTCTAACCTTTCCCCTTTCCTCACTCTGTTCAGAAAGTTTTGGCTTGACATGAATGTTAAATAATAAAGAGAACCTGTCATGAGAGCAAAAGAAGGACTGCCATGGCACAATGATTTCCTATGCTAATCATGTTGCAGCTGCCAGACATAGTAATGACCTTGTATGACCCAGGGCCTGCACACCTACAACACAGGCCGGCCATGCATTGTTTCTCCCTGGTACACACACACACGGAGCTTCACACGACAGGAAAGACAGAAAAGGCAGTCTACAGGCTGGCAGGACATGCTGGTTCTTGTAGTTCTCATGAGTCCCACACTGCCTCCGTTCATAACAGACAACTCATCCCGGTGTACCCCAGTACCTACCTCTGCCCGCCCACCACCGACATGCAATGATCACACCGTCGGTGTTATCAATCTTTCGGACTGGCTGCGCCTCCCTACTTTTTACATAACATCAGGAAACTCTTCCGTAACCGGCCGCGTGGCGTGTCAATCACAGCTCGCTCTTCCAATGGAAGAAGCGATAGGCGGGGCTACTCGTCGCCATGCTACCTGGAGACTTGACGCTAGAGAGCTGTGATGGGGCGCCCGATGATGACGTCAGCGAAAGGCGACGCGGACGTGCAGCGCGATTGGCCAGTTTGAAGGGACGATTGTTAGCGCCATGGCGGCGCCTCCCGGGAGTGCCCTGAGGAGCCGGCGGCGGCAGAGGTGAGTGAACGGGCAAATGGGCGACAGGAGAGCCCCTTACCACCATGATACGTGGGTCAGTGATCCAAAGACAGCAGCTTCCAGTTACAGGGTGAGCTGTCCCCGACAACATTGAGCCTGAGCTCCTGAGAAGGGGCCTCCTCAAACGAAGTGTGTGTGTATGTGTAAAAAAAATAAATTTTTTATATATATATGAAATGTTACACGTAAACATTTCTACTGTTATTGACCCCTAACGCTTTGAAATCATTGACAGTGACTGATCTTATTTCTCACCTTGTGTGCTGCTTCTTATTCTTTAAAATCTCGCCTTCCCTGGTAAATGTCACTGATGCATATGGTTTTTATCAGTTGTTTTTGTTTTTATGGATATGAATGCTGTCTTCTTCAGGCCGTTTATGTAGATCAGTACTCATTCACTTTGTTTAGATTTCCGGGATCCCAACCGGAAATAAGTCATTTCAGGGAGGTGCCCCCACCCACAGGGGGGGTGCAACAACAAGGAAGAGAGCACCCCCCCTGAAATGATGGCAGATAGCAAAGAAGCCCTTGCTATCCGCTGTTTTTTTTAGTATTCTGACAGCTGTTTACATCAGAATAAAAAAAAAGCATAGGAATGAATAGCTAGATTGCTATTGGCTATTTAAATTTGCAATAGCTAGCTAGCTATTGCACCCGCCCTCTGCTGCTGTCAGTCAGTCAAGGAGGACCTGATGGAGAACTTCAGGTGCACCTCTGTTGATTGACAGCAGCAGTGGGCGGGTGCAATAGCTAGTCTGCTATTGGCTTTTTCAATTTGCAATAGCAATTATCTAGCTATTTGTTCCTATGCCGTTTTATTTTTAACTTTTTTTTAATTCTGTCTGACGGTGGCCCTGATGTCAAGAAAAAAAACCCCAGCAGAGAAAAGTTTACTCTGTTAGATGGAGCAGTGTAAACCTTTCGGGGCGGAAATGTTTCTCTCCCGGGCATCCGGGAACTGTTATCTAATAGCGGGAGACCCCCGAAACATCCGGGAGAGTTGAGATGTCTGAGATCTGTACTCTCAGGTCTCGTTCACACCTAGGCGTATTGCATATGCACGTCTGTCGCACGTTTTTTTACCGGGATTCGCGATAAAAAAGTCGCGCGTTTCCGAAGGCTACTTGGCTGTATCCCAATGGAAACGCGCAACAAAACGGCCCAAAGTAGTACCTGTACCTTTTCAGGCGTGGGCCGTTTTGTAGCGCGTTAGGGACGGGTGGAAATACGCCAAGGTGGGAACGAGACCATTGAATACAATGGGATTTATATTTTTGAGCGTTTTGTAGAGCGTTCGTCGAGCGTAGAACGCGCTACAAAACGTTCAGGTGTGAACGAGGGCTAAAATAGAAAAACCTGCGTCCTATGTCAGTGATCTATGTGCAGACGCACGTGAAATGAAGGAAATTTATTTTTTTGCACCTGACCACCTTACAGACCGTCCCATGCTTTTCTTTTATGCAGGCTTCGCCTGCCAGCAAGATCTCACGTCTAGATGATCAATAATTTCGTTACGGCTGTCCCTATTCGAGCCGGTCCAAAGATAGATACCTGTCCTGGGTTCCAGGTTTTTGGGTGTTCCTGATGCCTTGTAGTGTCCTATGGAGTCACCCATAGGGTCTCTTAATACAATATGTGTTGGCCTTGCCTAACACAGTCCTACTGCATAGTCAAGGCAAATTTCCTTATGTCATAGTAACTGCACTGCAAAAAAGGAGGGCATGCTGTTTGTTTCTTACCTCAGCATGTTGTGACGCACACTACAACATGAATGAATTGCCTAAGTCTCAGTACATATGTAAGCAATGAGCAGAGGAATCTGTACAGCCATTTCTGGCAAAGTGCATGAGGCCAAAATCTGTGTTTTGTTTTTTTCTGTATCAGTGGTGCAGCCATACCAATGTTTTTTAAAGAAGATCTCCAGGAAAACTTTTTATTAACCCAGTGTGGGCCTGCACTGCAAGGGTTAAGTGTTCATTTGTGTCTAGGGAGACACATAACAGAGATATACACCTGAAGCTCCATGCAGGCCGGCTGTCACATCGCTCCCTCCGCAGCAGCTCTTCTTCAGCGTTCTCACATCTATACACTGTGTATAGAACGTGATGATTTACGGGACTGCTGCAGAGGTGGGGGAGAGACACTGGAAGGACCGGTCTAAGAGGAAGCCAGTTTGGAGCTTCGGATGAGTATAACGTTTTTTTAACCTAGACACAAACAAGCACTCAACCCTTGCAGTGTGGGGGTAGCTGTATTACTCATCTCTGTATTGGATGGGATGAGTTGAGGATCCTTAGACCACTGCAGATAAGGGGGAAAGAGGCTCCAGGAACGGGTCTAAGAGCAAGCCAGGGTGGAGGATCAGGTGAGTATAGCTTTTTTTTTTTGTGCCCCTATGCAAAAAGGAGTAGTTTAAACCTTGCAGTGCGGGGATGAATAAGTCCTAGCCCCACTGCAAAGATTAATTACATTTTGACCGGAGTTCAGCTTTAAAGTCAAAAGGGTTTTAGGCTATTCCAAATGCTGTTTAAATCACTTACAATGGACGCTGCTTCTTGATGTTTAAAAGTTTGTTTCCTGCAGAATCAACTGGTTCCCTGAGCACTGGCCCTGACTTCCTATTTTAGGGTGACTCCTTTCCCTTGCAGGGTCCTTTTGGAGCCACCCTTATGTGTGCTAGTAAGCTGTATGTGTATCCACAAACACGCAGACACAGCAAGGCAAGCTACTCCCCTCCTTCCTTCTCCCAACCAGTAGATAGATGGCTGCAGGAGACTGTGCTGTCCCTTGTGATCTTGTACTGGACAGGAACTTAAGGGAAGTGGCAGTGACTGAGAGACTTGGAACCAAGTGTTCAGAAACGTAGGGCTGCAGCTAACGATTATTTTTGAAATCGATTAGTTAGCCGATTATTAAGTGATGGACTACTAGTTTTGTATTGAGATAGGGCTGCAACAACTAATCAACATAATCGATTATAATCGATTATTGAAAAAGTTGTCAACTTTTTCAATAATCGATTAATCGGCTTCTGATAGTACAATATACATACTGTGTATAATGTATTGCTGGGATTTGTATTCCTCTATAGCTGATGGTACATTGCTCTTTATAATATATTTAGCTATGATGATGCCACCGGTCATATACAGTCCCTTCTGTAGACCCTCGGAATACTGAGTGGCGACATAGCTACGTCACTGTTCGTTGTAGTTGGTGGAGCTGGGGCTCCCGTCTAACCCACCAACATGCCCATAGTCCCACCTTCTGTACATTAATTCCCAGTACATGATGGGAACTGTAGTCTCAGTAAGTGGTGATTAACACTAATATTAAGTGATGTCGCCACTTCTGAGATCCCTCCCCGTGGTTGCAGATTTTTCCTATATGCGTTGATGATGTCAATTGGTTTTAAATGGTGAGTTTTTACAGAACTGTCACTTTAAAAAAATAAAACTAAAGGTACAGTAGTATTGGACAGATTTTATTATCCCGGAGTTTAGCTTTAATTATGTACTGTATATCGCTTGCATTGAATGATATTTTGTTCTGTCTTCTCTTCTACCAGCAGCACTCCCGCCATAGATGAATGCGTTGCTGAATTTATTAAGAGGACCGTTCAGAAAATGTCAATGGCAGAGCTGATGACAATTTTAAGGGCTTGGGGATTTTTAACAGAGAGAGAGCTCCAGTCATTACCCACGAAGACCAGCAAGGAAAATATAGCACTGGAAGTGCTTCATCTGTGTGAGGTAAGCTGTCTGTCAGTAACATTTGTACTTGCTAGAAATAAATCAAATATGGCCCCCACATATTCAGGAGTTTCACTTAACTACCTCCCGGCCAGCCGCTGTGTATACACGGCCTGCCGGGAGCTTCTTGGATGTAACTGGGCGTGTATACACGGCGCGCGCGAGCGGGAAGTCCCCGCTATTTGAAAAGAGGCAGCGATGCCCGTTAATATACAAGCGATCCGCCGGCTATAGAGCCGGCGGATCGCTTGTATGAAGCCCCGAGACGTGCGC